GAAAACATCCCGTCCCGGCCGTCGTCAATACCTGCAAGTACACTCGGACAAGAGACAGGGAAGAAAGAAAAAAAAACTGCAGAAGAAAAAAAGAGAGGGTTAGTCTGTGCACTAATGAACTTGATTTCAACATCAAAATCAAGAGTTTCCCTCCAAAACGCCATAACGCCATTCTTCGTCACTTTTTGGGAAGAATTTTCCTTGAGAGTCAGCTTTTCTGCTGTGATTTACTCTCTGGAGTCTTAAGACTCTAGACATTTGGCACCAGTATTCCAAATGGCTATGTTGCATTTTGGAAAGCAAGTCTTTGACTTCAACACCTATACATACAAACACAGGGGCCCCTACACAATAAAACTCTAAGAAAAAGCATGAATTAAACATGCACAACTCAACTCACAAACCCCAACAGCGGACCCTCAGAAACATCCCGTCCCGCCGTCGTCAATACCTGCAAGTACACTCGGACAAGAGACAGGGAAGAAAGAAAAAAAAACTGCAAAAGAAAAAAAGAGAGGCCAACACGGACCCTCAGAGAACATCCCGTCCCGGCCGTCGTCAATACCTGCAAGTACACTCGGACAAGAGACAGGGAAGAAAGAAAAAAAAACTGCAAAAGAAAAAAAGAGAGGGTTAGTCTGTGCACTAATGAACTTGATTTCAACATCAAATCAAAGAGTTTCCCTCCAAACGCCATAACGCCATTCTTCGTCACTTTTTGGGAAGAATTTTCCTCGAGAGTCAGCTTTTCTGCTGTGATTTACTCTCTGGAGTCTTAAGACTCTAGACATTTGGCACCAGTATTCCAAATGGCTATGTTGCATTTTGGAAAGCAGTCTTTGACTTCAACACCTATACATACAAACACAGGGGCCCCACTACACAATAAAACTCTAAGAAAAAGCATGAAATTAAACATGCACAACTCAACTCACAAACCCCAACAGCGGACCCTCAGAGAACATCCCGTCCCGGCCGTCGTCAATACCTGCAAGTACACTCAGACAAGAGACAGGGAAGAAAGAAAAAAAAACTGCAAAAGAAAAAAAGAGAGGGTTAGTCTGTGCACTAATGAACTTGATTTCAACATCAAATCAAAGAGTTTCCCTCCAAAACGCCATAACGCCATTCTTCGTCACTTTTTGGGAAGAATTTTCCTCGAGAGTCAGCTTTTCTGCTGTGATTTACTCTCTGGAGTCTTAAGACTCTAGACATTTGGCACCAGTATTCCAAATGGCTATGTTGCATTTTGGAAAGCAAGTCTTTGACTTCAACACCTATACATACAAACACAGGGCCCCACTACACAATAAACTCTAAGAAAAAGCATGAAATTAAACATGCACAACTCAACTCACAAAACCCCAACAGCGGACCCTCAGAGAACATCCCGTCCCGGCCGTCATCAATACCTGCAAGTACACTCGGACAAGAGACAGGGAAAAAGAAAAAAAACTGCAAAAGAAAAAAAGAGAGGGTTAGTCTGTGCACTAATGAACTTGATTTCAACATCAAATCAAAGAGTTTCACTCCAAAATGCATAATGCCATTCTTCGTTACTTTTTGGGAAGAATTTTCCTCGAGAGTCAGCTTTTCTGCTGTGATTTACTCTCTGGAGTCTTAAGACTCTAGACATTTGGCACCAGTATTCCAAATGGCTATGTTGCATTATGGAAAGCAAGTCTTTGACTTCAACACCTATACATACAAACACAGGGGCCCCACTACACAATAAAACTCTAAGAAAAAGCATGAAATTAAACATGCACAACTCAACTCACAAAACCCCAACAGCGGACCCTCAGAGAACATCCCGTCCCGGCCGTCATCAATACCTGCAAGTACACTCGGACAAGAGACAGGGAAGAAAGAAA